GGGAGAGGAGGGAGAGAGAGAGGGAGAGAGAGAGAGATAGAGAGAGAGAGAGATCATTTTTGTTCCCATTATAGATAACACACTTTTAGCCTGTGACCTGGAAAAAATATGATTAGTATCTTTGAATCCAAAATTCTGACACTCTCTGCATCTCTTTAGATAATCTAAAAATTGAGAGCATCCCTGATACTACATTTTATGTCTGAGATGTTGGTTGAGAACTCAGGAAGAAGTTGGTTGATAAATACATTGATTTTTTTTTTCCTTCCCTTAAAAAAAAAAAAAACACTAGATTTTGAGAAAGAAAGGATCAAAGAGAAAAAGGAATTTGAGCATCTCTGCTCGAGAGCCGCATTTTCTAATAATCGTCAATAATGCATGATCCGAAGGGGGAGAGGGCTGGTGTCTAGGCCATAGTAGCCCGACCTTTGACCTGCATCAGTCTCTGTTCCTGAAATCTCCGGTGTCTGCTGGAGACTTAAAGGTTTCCCCACCTAAAGGGATGCATAGAAAGAGGCATCCGTCCGCGGGATCTTCTTCCTTCTCTTTACAAAAGATGGAGTGGAATCCAAAGTGGGCCCAGGAGAATTTCTGTGGAGTGGAACTTCAGGGTCACTGGTCTAGGGTGGCCAAAGGTTGCCATTAAAGGCACAGCCCAGGTAATGACTCCCACATTGGCCTCTCCACTAAATCCACTGGTCCTCTTCACCGTGACTTTTGGGAATTCCCAGAAGGTGGAAAATCATGGCTTCCTCCTTTGCTGGACAGATCCTCAGTAACCACTTCATTCTCCTCACTTCTCCAAGGCATGTGAGATTCTGGGATGACTTCCTTCCCTTTTTGGGGGGAACTGAACAGTAAAAATATTAGTCCCACCATCCTGGCCCTTAAAGAAGAAGATATATTACTTGTGGACAAAGGGTGCTGGTGAGATGGCAGGAATCCTGGGGGTATCCAGTGAAGATAAATGGTAACTCAGGTCAGTGAACTTCCAGGGTCTGCTTGAGATGCTGCCCTTGGGGACCTGTTACATCAACCTCTGAGATTCAACCCTGAGCGCTCTTGGGAAGCATTCAGTCCCAGGGGCTTGGCAAAGCCATTCATTTTCTTTGAATGGGTCCCTTTTGTAGTTTTCTGGGACGCTTCCCCTCTCAACTCTGAGTCCCGGTGACTTCTCTAAATGTCCTCAAGCATGGATTTATTGGTTGGTTGGACTGACCTAACAGGAAAGATCCAGGACTGGTCCCAAATCCAGTGTTGGCTAACCCTCTGTGCTTGGAAAATGGAGAGCTAGGAGGGTCTGTGTTTTGAGTTCTCAGACTGCAAGGTGCTAGGTTGAATGGCAGAGTCATGAAGGTCAGATTCTTCTGGCGCAGCTAGTCTGTCTGGGAGGTCACATAAAACAAACATGACATGCATAGAATGCAGCTGATTTGCAGCCTAACTTAAGAGACATATTGGATTATGAAATCTTCTGTCCTTTGCTGAACATGTTCTTTTACCTCTTTGGATTGAAAAAAAAAAAAAAGTCACAGTCATTCTTCTGGTTACACAGAACCTAACTGTGATAAAGAAACTTTTCTTTGTTCTTCTAAAAATATCTGGCAACCCTGGTCTAAAGATTTAAAAACAAGGATAATCTGTTTTCTACACCTGGATTGTCTACGCTTTCTAAAAATCTCTTTCTCCATCTTTGTGAAACCAAAGAGCTCATACATAAAAGGCTGTGGATCTCCTTAGATGAGAAAAGAATAATAATTTACAAAAAACCCTGAAATTCTGTTCCTTTTATGGTCATGTTAATTTCCAGGCGGGGAGCTTGGTTAACCAAGAGAAAATAAAAACTTTAGATGAGATGTGTTATTTATAGCGGATGCAAAGCGTCCTTATTATCAATCCTTGTTACAAAATACATGGGGAAAAAAAATGCCCTTTTTGTTATTTAAATATGGCGTGACTACATTGAGAAATGGAACAGATGTGAGCCCGAAGCCCCTCAGCTGCATCCTGGGTAATCATTATTATGTTTTATTCTTATTTGGAATTACTAGTAATAGACTGTATATTTCTGCGTGAAAATTCAAATCAGGGAGCACCGATGAATTGAGATGATTGATATTATATATACACACACACACACATAATTTTGGAATTGGGGACAACAATGGAAATATTTCTCTGTTGGAGAAAACCCACCAAACTTGGTGCTCTGTTAGTGATCTGATGATGAACATTTTTCGTGGAACTCGAGGTGCCAAAAACGTACTCGATTCTTCACAGTTGGAATAAGTTAACCTTGGGCCAGCGATCTAAATCTGTTTTGAAAATATCCACGTCGTTGTTGAAAATCTGAATATGTAAATATATGGATTCTGAAATATCTGGCTTCGAACCATAAGAATTTTTTTAATGCATGTGTTTTTTTTTAATACTTAGTTGTAGATGAACACAATACCTTTATTTTATTTATTGATGTGGTCCTGAGGATAGAACCCAATGCCCCATGCATGTGAGGCAAGTGCTCTACCAACTGAGCCACAACCCTAGCCCTAAGGTGCATTTTTTATGCATTTACTGTGTGCTTTAGTCTTTTCTCTTTTCTTTCTTTTTTTTTTTTTTTGATAAATTTGATTTTCTTCCAGTCTTTCACTGTTTTGAAATTTTGTACATGGAGTCCACAGAAAAGACCCAGGTGGTAATATAATTCATGACATCCTCGAAAACAAATGTCGCATGCATGCACATTGCAAACGTAGGAATGTTGCTTTCCCATTTGTAACTGGTGTATCATTATTTTAAAGATAAGCCAGAAAATAAGCCAGGCATGGTGGCTCATGCCTGTAATCCCAACAACTCAGGAGGCTGAGGCAGGAGGATCACAAGTTTGACACCAGCCTCAGCAACTTAGTGAGATCCTGTTTCAAAATTTAAAAAATAAAATAACAGGTCTGGGGATGTGGATCGACAAAAGCTGGTTAAGAAGGTTTTTCAGAAAAGCAGAGGCAATTCACACCCTTCACGATAATCATGTGCAAAGAGAGTACCGTCCATCAGCTGTGTGGTCATAACCCACATCGCTTTCTAAGCCCCTGGTTCCTCTGTCTCAGAACCTATCAGGTTGTGCCTGGCTCAGCTAATTGAAGGAATTAAAAAGTGGGAGGAAAGTGACTTTCCAATAGAACAAATCCTCACTGACTGTCTTCTATGTATAAATTGCTCAACTTGGTGCCAGAGGAGATCTTAAAAAAAAAAAAAATGGGTACAATCGAGTAAAGCTCTCAAGCAGTTAAATCCAAAGAAGAGAAAAAGAAAGGTTCAAATACACTTGACGAAGAGGCATCCACGGGAAGATACAATCTGAAACTGTCACGGGCAGGAGTGGTCAGTTGTGCCCTGAGCAACGTGTACACGGGGTCACTCTGGAAGGATATGCGTTAGGGCTGCTACTCAAAGTGTGACTCGTGAATCATTCCTGTCCTTGAACTTTGCGGCTATTCTGTGGCCAAATTCGTGCATCCAGTTTCTCTTGAGAGACAGCATTTAGAAATGCACAGCGATATCCCACTGATGCATCCTCTGAGGACGTCCACAGTGGATTCCAATCATCAGACCTGTCATGGCCCAGTTTGGGTGTTGGCGAGTCCCATGCCGTGCCAGCCACGGTGGTCCTTAATGGGTTGAGCAAACTAGGAGACTGGTCCTTTACTCGGGATCATTTGAGGATCTGGACTCTATGATTCTCAAAGCTATTAAGGAATATGGGAAATGAGGCTCAGGACACCCAATCTGGAAGCAACAATATATCAGTGGTGTCACGGCCCAGAGGGATCATTCCCCAAGTCTGAGCCCCGATTGAGCACAGCAGGGCTTTTACTTTATACATCAGCAAGTTTGGGGTCCATCAAAGCAAGGGAGTTGGTGCAATTCTATGGAGGGAGCGTTCTGCATTCCTTATATGGGTACGAACTTGTCCACAGTCCGGGGACTCTGAGCTCATACAGCTTAGGGACTTGTACTGCACTAAGCGTAAGGAGGATTGTCTGTCCACATTGCTTTGTTTCCTGCTTTTGCTACTGTATCTTCTACAGGTCCCTGTGAGCTGCTGCAAGCCTCCATGGTTACATGTCAGTAAGCAGAGCTGCTGTGTATCAGTGTGCAAAACCACAGCCTGTCAGCTCAACTGCTTAGAGTTCCTAGAGTTGTATTTTGCTGTGCACAGGCACACACACACACACACACACATGCACGCGTACACACACGCATATGTATCTGTGCATATCTATTTGCAATTTAGAGCCGTTTCTCATTATCAACATATTTTAAAATTCGCCAGCTTTTTTTTCCTGATCCCATTCTTTCATGACACAGCTGGAAAATGTTAACACTGTGACATTAGCCCGTCTTCCAAAATCGCCAGTATCAGAAAAGGGACCTTGGAGGCACAAAAACAGGAACAGAGTCCAAGGGGGCGACAGCCAGAGGGAAGAGTGAGCAGGAGGGGACGTGGGTGGGGGTGGGGCAGGCGCTCTGGCTGGAAACTGTGAATTTAAAAAGTGATCAGCGGAGCCCAGCGGCCCGGGCGTGTAATCTCCACGACTTCCGGAGGCTGAAATGGGAGGTCTGTTGGTTTGAGGCCAAGCCTCTGCAATTCAGCGAGGCCTTTAGCACTTTAGTGAGATCCTATGTCAAAATTGAAAATAAAAAGGAGTGGGGATGGGGTTGGGACTCAGTGGTAGAGTGCCCCTGGGTTCAGTTCCCAGTACCAAAAAGAAAAAGGTGGGGAAATGAGTGATCAGTGGAATAGCAGCCTCCCTTCTGCTTTAACACGATGCACCCTGGCTTAGTCTTTTAGGGGGCACTCTTACCCAGGGGGGAGCTGAGTCTGCCACACCCCGCTATTATTGCTCTGCATATTTTACGTTCGTGGTGGTGCTGTGGCCCATGGCTGGGCCTGTAGGGAAGAGGTCGCTCATTTCACACATGTCCTCTGTTTGTTTCAGATGACTACGCGCTGCACGGCCCCGTGTTCCTTCAAGAGCCAAGCCCCGTCATGTTCCCTCTGGATTCCGAGGAGAAAAAAGTGAAGCTCACTTGTGAAGTGAAAGGGAATCCCAAGCCCCACATCAGGTGTGTTGACCTCAAACCGCGCGACTCCGTGCACAGAGCTCAGGGGTCCTCAGCAAAAGGCATGGACAGAACTCTCAGGAAGGCACTGCTGGGTAGCCAGAGGGGTCTGCGGTGGCTGTTCATGAAAGGTTAAGTGAGCCAGGCGCCGTGGCGCACGCCTGTCATCCCAGCCTCTCAGGAGGCTGAGGCAGGAGGATCGCAAGTTCTAAGCCAGCCTCGGCAAAAGCAAGGTGCTCAGCAACTCAGTGAGACCCTGTCTCTACATAAAATACAAAATAGGGCTGGGGATGGAAACCAGCAAAATGGTGTTCAGAGTCCTGGACCAGCAACGACACAGGCAGAGATTTGGATTTTCCAGCCTTTGTAGAGACAGAGCCAAGACCCATCTCGCAGGAGAGCCTAACATGAAAACAATTCCCAGAATAAACCAGATCCCCCAGGGCGACAGCCTTAGAGCAGAGTAAACCAGAAATCAGCCTCCCTTCCCAAGGGACAGGAAGGCACAGGTCATTGCTAACTGCACACCTGGAGGGTGAGTGGCCTTCGTAGCAAACGAGATGTAGGGCAAGAGGGAATCCGGGAGCAGCCAGACAGGTCTGAGGAAATCAGGCAAATGCATCTAAAAGTGACCAACGGAAATTAAGTATCAGAGAGAGACAGACGGACGGACAAGCAGTCAGAGTCTCATCAGAGCGTCGGAGAGCAAAACCAGAAAGAACGAGGCAGAGACAACATTTAAAGAGAAGCCCCGAATTCCCCAGCATTCATGAAAACTCACGAGCCACCGATATCGGAAGCCCAGTGGATTTCAAGGATCGATGCCTCCTGTACAACAGCGAGACCACGGAAAGCCAAGTCAGAGAGATGGTGGTTCCAAGGAGCCGGAGATGTAACATAGGCCGTCTTCAAAGAGATGAAGCGTCAGCGGCAATTGACTTTTCAGGAGCAACCAAAGAGAGAAGAAGAGTGGACCTTTCTCTATTTAGCTGTCAGACTTATACCGACAGCAAGCTAGGAGAATAAAGAACGGCTGTAATCAAGGCGACAATTACAAGTGCTAGGGACAATGCAGAGAAAAGGGATTGCTGGTGGGAATGGACAGCCATTGTGAATAATTGGATAGAAGTTCCTCAATAAAACTAAAAAATAGACCTACCATATGATCCACTATCCAACAAGGTATCCAGCCAAAGAGATACATGGACCTCTCCCCGCCCTTAACTGTTGTAATACTCAAAATAGCCAAGATGTGGAATCAACCAGGATGTCCATCAACAGAGAAAAAGACAAAGAAAGAGTATGATCTGTACCAAATGGAATATTATTTGGCCATAAAAAAGAACGAAATTGACATTTGTGGCACCGGTGGATGGAACTGGAGGATGTTATGTTAAGGGAAATAAATCAGGCACAAAAAGACAAATACTGCATGCATGCTCTTACATATATGGTATATGTGGAAGATAAAAAGTTGATCTGTTGGCCATAGAGAGTAGAAGAGGGTTAGCAGAGTTGGGAAGGGAAAAGGGGAGGAGATAAGGAGAGTTTGGGTAGCAAGTCCCAAAATACAGTTGGGTATGAAGAATGAGTTCTAGCTCTCCAGCACCATAGGGGGGTTATACTCTGCAGTGATTTATTGTCTTTCTCAAAAAAGAATGGAGTTTGGAGTTTCTCAACACCAAGTGGTGCCTACCCTTGGTCATTGCACCTTGTGTAGACATGTCAAGTTGTCACACTGTGCTCCATAAACAGGCAGGACTTTTATGTGTCATTTGGAAGTTAATGAAAAAGAGAGAGAGAGAGAGAGAGAGAGAGAGAGAGAGAGAGAGAGAGAGAGAGAGAGAGAGAAAATGAAAATACCTTTAGGCAGACCGAAACCAAAGTTTGATTCCAGTCTTTTCGTACTAAAGGAAATTCTAAAAGATACACCTGAAGACGAATAAGAAATGATCCCAAGGCAAAAAAGCCTGAGATCCAAGAACAAATGATAAGTCAAGGAGCAAGTGTTAGTTCTTCCACATATGGGTTCATCGCACTAAATAAGAAGAATGCTAAAAAAAAAAAAAATACTACTGCCTGGTGAAGACAAGAAAGTAGGAAAAGTTACAATTCAGGCCAATGATAGGGGAAAAAAAAAGAAAAGAGAGACGCTGGACAATGGATGGACCATATGGTTAAATAAATAAAATAAAAGCAAATGCTTATTTTACAGCAAACGCCAAAAACCCGTCCCAGATGGATAGAAGGCCTCAATGGGACATTTAGAACCATTGGAAATGAAAACAGGCATGCATGTGTATGACGTCAATGTTGGGAAGAGAAAGTATAAATCATCAAACATTCAACTTTTTTAATATTGGGAGCTTCCATTCAACACAATAGACGGAGATTCGCAAAATCGCAGCAAGCTTCCGACTGGGGAAGAAATTTTTTGATGTATTTGTCATCCGTGAAGGATCGGGATCCAGAATATTTTAAAAATTCCCTTAAACCAGAATGTAAAAAAGACCAGTGGAATTATTAGTAAAACATCCGAGTGGGTCCTTCTAAGGAAACGGAGACCAGATACCCGGTAACCATGAGAAGGTTGATCAATCTCCTTAGGAATCGAATGTGCAATTTAACGTAAACTGACATACTCTTCCCCCACGTCACAGACTGACGGAAATTTAAAAGTCTGGCCATGTGCTGGTGGGATGTGGAGCCAAGAAAACCCCTGAACCCACCTAGTGGGAGTGTGAATTGCAAAAGCTCTTGGTTTCTGGGGGGGGGGACGGTGTTAGCGCGTGACACCAGGGTCCCTGCTGCTCTCTGATGCAGGATGTGTAAGTTCATAACACGTCAGGAAATCGCCAGCCTGGTGGGTTCACACAAGATCACCTCATGCACGTGATCCGTGGGTGGACTGCAGGAAAATAAGGTCCAGGAAGCAAAGCAAATCACAGCAGAATCACGACATATCATTGCATACTTACAGAGTTCAAGTGCAGGAAAGAAGGAGGGGTTGTTCAAGGTCCCCGGGAGGCAAAGCAGTAATTACCTCCACCCTCTTAGGGTTTTTAGAGGGGCCTGAGGATTACATTGACAGAAGATATAACATCAGGGGAAAATTTTTTTAAAAGTATGCACATTTATTTCATACAAGTTTTCTGTGTCCAGGAAACTGTCACAGGTTAATGACCGACCGAGAGCTGTAATCATTGGTGAACACCTATATAAAGAGTCGTAGGCTCCCATCAGCTCAGGAGGCTGAGGCAGGAGGATGGTGGGTTCTAAGCCAGCCTCAGCAATTTAGTGAGGCCCTAAGCAATTCAGTGAGACTGTTTCTAAATAAAATAGAAAAAAAAAAAGGGGCGGGGTGGGGGGCCCGGGGGCTGGGAACATGGCTTCGGGTTTAAGTACCCCTGAGTTCAACCCCTAGTACCAAAAAAAAAAAAAAAAAAAACGAGGAGTAGTGGACTGAGAATGTAACGAACTTATGTGGGGCGTCCAGAGGAAAATATTTGAACAAGGTTTGTGCAGAACTTTCTCTGTCTCCACTTCCTGTCCCTGATAAGGATGGGACTTTGATTCTGGCTTAGGGACAGCATCTTTCACTCGGGAATTTCATCTCCAGCTTTTTTTTTAGAGATCGAGTGAAGGTCAGGGTGACCTTCGTGAACTTCCTGTTTTTCAAGTGCCTTTAATCCAAATATGTACAGCAGCAGATTTGGGGGGTAGCGTGTTCCAAGCTCCTTCAAAGATTACTTCCATATGCAATGGAATCCTTTTAATAAATTTTTGGAATGAAAAAGCCCAAATTAAAGATTAACCATCTTTTTGTGATTAACCATCAATAAATAATAGTTTTTCCCTATCCAAATTTAATGGTAAAACATTTAGGCTAAGAATAAATAATATTATTTTTAAAGACCAAAGAAATATATGTTATAGGAGACATTAGAACCATCAGGAAAATTTTTTTTTTTAAAGGGCTTGAGGGTTGGAGCTGAGACAGGTAGTTTTCAAGTAGAAGGCAAAGATACTTCATAGACGTTGAAGGACGGTGGTGTTAGCAGAGTGGGTTATACATGGGATAAAGAGTAGTAGGCTCCCAGCAGCTCAGGAGGCTGAGGCAGGAGGATCGTGGGTGCTAAGCCAGCCTCAGCAATTTTAGTGAGGCCCTAAGCAACTCAGTACCCCAGGGATGGTTGGGGTACTGCCTGAATGTTGAAGTGGACTGGAGCCCTGTGATATGTAAACGTGAGCTGAGCGCGCCCAAGGTCAAGGGCATCCTGCAAGCAAGACAGCCTCCTTGGCCAGGAGCAGGGGTGGACATCTTTGAAGGTTTCACAGAAAAGCGAGACATTTTTATACTTTTCTTCTGAAGGGCACGTGGTCTTTGCCCTACATGGATAAGAAAAGGAAATGCACTTCAGAAAGGAAGAGAGGAAAAAAATAATTAAAAAAAAAAACTCTAATTAGAATGGACCCTATAATTAGAGTGAACGTATAATTTATCCTCCCAAATAGGACACTCTGGAGAGCCAAAGACCACTGTTAATGATCATTCTAGGGCAGCAGCTGTGAACCCGGCTCTGTCCTGAGCAAACCAGATTGCACATCGTTATTGGGTCTCTAATAGAGTTGACTGGAGGCTCAACGATTTTGAAATGCATTCTATGGTAAAAAAAAAAAAGAAAGAAAAAAATGAAACTCAGGAGGGAAACATTCCCAGATACACAAATGATGGGTTCCCGGAGCCCAGGTTCCGTGTAGAGCCAAATGGAGGTCCAGACGTGTTTTAGCTGTCGATGGGAAAACCAGTTTTTTTTGGTGGGTGGAATCTGGCAAAGTGACTGCTCTGTTTTTCTGCAGACGGCGACCTTTCATTAACGTTGCTTTTGTAACATGGTGTTTCGGGGGTGGGGGGGGGCTCGCCTGTTATTTAAAACAAGCCACGGAACAGAAACCTATTATGTTTTTTTTTTTTTTTTTAAAAAAAGATTGCCAGGGGAAAAAAACGGAGAAGCAGCCCTTTGCATCCATAGGCACTAGCAATGCCTGGTAGAGCACGTGGCTTGCCTTTATGTGACCTTTGGCAGATTCCCTGTGACGTGATAGTAAGCTCTCCATACCTGAGAGCTTAAAAAATAATAAAATAATAAAATAAACTGCCTCTGGTTGAAGGGAAGAGCAGGAGAAAGAATGAAGAGATGAGGTATTTTCAAAGACCTTGCTGGAGCAGTCGGTTGACCTTGACCCAGAAGGAGAAGGAGGAAGAATTCCAGGCTGAACTCTCCAGGGGCATCTGCAGCCTCGGGGCTACCCCAAGTGACCTCTTTGCTTTGCTCTTATTCCCTCCACGGAGCCTCTTCTTTTTATTGTTCCTGCCCCTCCATTTTGAAAGGATTGACCCAGACCCAGGAAAATTTAAGGAGTTTTGACTGGTACCAACTGGCCTTGTAGGAAGGTTTCCCTAAGGACAGACCACGTTCCTTTTCTGCTCAGCCTCCGTTTCCAGAGGGAGGCAAAGGTTCACGCTCCCGGTGGGAGTTATTTTGTGCTATGAGGTTTGCCTTGGGCCGAGTTTGCAGAAAACAAATCCGAGTGGCAGAGGCCCCCTGGGGCGCCCTCTCTGAGGGTCAAGTTCAAAATGGTTCATAAAAGGAGAGGGTTTTGCTAATCCCATGGAGAGCTTCCCAGCCAAGTCTGCAAAACCCTCCCTCGCTGTCCCATCCCACTGTCGATGTTGTGTTCAGCCCTAAACTCTCTGGAGACCTTGGAGTCGTGATTCCCCAAGTAATTCAGAAATCAGCTTAGGAGACACCAATTTGTCTTGGCCCCTGGGAGAAAAAATCTCTTCTTGGCTCCATATGAGCATTACCTCTGTATCACCCATTCTATATTACCCATGCATGAAAGATTCTGCAAATGTTGCGAGTTCCTTGTGCATTTTATTATTATTATTATTATTATTATTATTATTATTATTATTATTATTATTATTATTTTGGAATCTTGCACTGTGCAGGGAGATCCAGGATTCAGCGCAATCCACGTTCAATTGCAGGGAACCCCAACCCACCGCCTCGCAGTAAAACCCTGGTAATAGGGACTCCAGAGCGTTTCTCAGAGAGCACTCTATTTTCTAAATAACCCCCTTTCCTTTGCTGTTTGTATATGTAGAAGCGGGCGATAAAAGAGATGAACGGACTTTGTGCACAGGGTTTGGGGCTGAGATAGACCTGGTGGAGAACAACCTATGGAGGTGGTGCGAGTCCTACAGTCGCTTTCCTAAAAAGACCCACGTGGTTCCACTCCCCAGGCGCACACACATTCGGCTTGCAGCTCACACTGGATTGCAATTTCCTCTCTGAGTTCTTAGATTTGTCATATTAAATTGCCCTACTATCATTGGAAGCGAGAGTTATGGCCCAGACATCATCAGCGGAGTGCAAACCGCGGGGCGGGCAGTGAGCTCTAGAGATTCATGTGCATCTAGTACTCCCCGGAATGCAACCCGGCTGTTCTCTTTATTGCTTATTACTTTCTTGTCTGTGTCGGAACACAGAGAAAATTGCTGTCGAGCCTAAAAACACTGTCAGTTTCTGATCCCCACCTTCTTACCCACAAGCACATGAAGCACTCTGCCCTGTTTTTTTGCTTCTAACCCAGAGTTCCTACCCCTCCTGTTTCTAGAATTTTTTTTTTTTTTTTTTACATTTCAAAGGCACGGATATCAATAAAGAGACGCGGCTGTGCTGTAGTGTCCTACAAGGCTCCATAAATCATGTATGCGCCAAGCTCACGGGTCTAGCAAGCCGCGAAACAGTCAGTCAATTCAGTTCAACAAGTGTTGATTGAGCACGAACAGAATATCAAATTCTAGATGGCGAACGGGAGAAGACAAAAAAAAAAATCATTCAGACAGACTGTCTACAGGGAAGGCAGAATTCTTACAGAAAGGACCGGAGAGATTTCTGGAGGAGAGTGGATCAAGGTTTGATTCATTTTAAGGAGAACTCTATTGGAGGACTTTATTGGAAATTAGAAGAGGTGTCCTTTACAAATGACTCTTTTTTGTTGTTGTTGTTACTGAAGATTGAACTTGGGGGGCATTGGGCCACTAAGCCACACCACCTCCCCGCAGCCCACTGAATTTTTAATTTTGAAAGAGGGTTTTGCTAAGTGGCTTAGGGCCTGGCTAAGTGGTTGAGGCTGGCTTTGAAATTGCAGTCCTCCTGCCTCAGCCTCCCGGGCTGCTGGGATTATAAGCATGCACCACCATCACGGTGCAGGGCTCCCTGACATTGACCTTGAATTGAGTGAGAAATCTGAACAGAAAAAAATGAATTACGACTCAGCATTTGCTTTGGTTGATATAAGATATCCCAGAACTGGAAACAAATTGAACTATAAATATTCCGTTTCAATGACTGTAGGTGACGGACATACAACTGTAGTACCCCAGAACGTTCTCAGAGGGTACACAATGAATATGCATTTGCCTCCACACATCTTCACTATTGGAAGGCAACGAAATGAATGTCTCTCGTCGATTTGGATCAGACTTCTTGGTGCTCCAGTGTTTCCTTATTCTTTTCTCTCTCCCTGGGATTGCTCCACCTGTACGATTTCTCATTATCTGGTACTCTAGAATTTGTAGGGTTAAAAACAATAAGATGGCTATTGAATCGCAATCCTTCAAAAGTCTGTAAGTATTCAAATGACTTCCTGGGAGGTGATTTGGTTACGATCCGCTTTCTTTGGAAGGATACTGGTTAACTCAACAAAATTGCGGGTCTTGTTCCTAAAGGTTCGCGCTTGCAATGCGTGAGTCCCCCTTAAAGCTCAGATATTGAGTTCACTGCAATAGTCAGATTCTCAGGGTACTCAGGTAAATAAAGAGAAGCAACAGGGGAACACGGACTCGGTGGTCTAATGGCCTGAAGTGCAGTCCACTGGGGTGATTGATGGATGTGCCCGTCACTAAGGAGATCTTCAAAGTGATCCACGGGCCGATGTGGTCGCCACAGCCACTCTGGATCACTGGAGTTCTCTCTGCTTTGCAATCAGCCACTTTGGTTGTATTAAGGACCCCATCAAAGCAACTCTACTGTAATTCCCCAAAATACTCAGCAGTCTACCTCAAAATGGTGAATTCTGTCATCATTGAAAGAATCCCTGCAAACCGCCCAGTGAATCATCACCGAGAAGCCCTGTCTGAAAAAAAATTTCCCAAGGAGCTGTGGGAAAACCTCTCTTGCAAACAGCGAAGTGTTCTGTTGGTAGCATCCTTAGAGATCCCAAAAACAGGTTGTAAAATTTTGCCATGAAAGGGCATGCTCTCTCTATTAAGTGTGTAAGACGTCACCGTTGCAGGTAGGACGTGTCTGATATTTTTTCTCATGCTTTCAAAGAGGTCACTATGTGTAGATTTTTTTTATAGGTATTTTAGACAATTCAGAAATATCGACTCATCTCACAAGGCTTTATCTACGGGTCTTTTTATACTACAGGTGGAAGTTAAATGGAACCGATGTTGACGTGGGTATGGATTTCCGCTACAGTGTGGTTGAAGGCAGTTTGCTGATCAATAACCCCAATAAAACCCAAGATGCCGGCACATACCAGTGTGTGGCAACAAACTCGTTTGGAACAATCGTCAGCAGAGAAGCCAAGCTCCGGTTTGCTTGTAAGTGGCAATTTAGATCACGCCGCAAATGTTTTGTTCTGTTGTACCCGTACGCTGTCCAAACAGTCTCTTTTTAAAAAACACAGAACAGATTTTAATTTGTTATATGATCTTTGCCTCTTTGCATATTTTCAGAAATGTCTCATTGGTAGGATAAACTGCAAATAGGAGTGGGAAGACGTATCTTTGTGCTTTCAGAAGGATGGAGAGAGTTTGATTATAGGGATTATATCATGATTTGGGTTTTTGTTTCATTTTGGTTTTTTGATACTGGGGATGGAATTCAGGGGCACTTGACCACTGAGCCACCTCCCCAGCCCTATTTTATATTTTATTTAGAGACAGGGTCTCACTGAGTTGCTTAGCAGCTTGCTTTTGCAGAGACTGGCTTTGAACTCGAGATCCTCCTGCCTCAGCCTCCTGAGCCGCTGGGATTACAGGTGTGCACCACTGTGTCCTGCTGATTTGGTTTTCTGATGCTTGGTACACACAAATTCACGCCCACTGAAATTTACACATGTATAAATGCATGTACACAAGTTACACAGACATGTATTTTGAATAGAATGTGCATAAGAAAGCAAATAAAAATGCCAATGTAGTAGTTGATAAGAGAAATACTTTATCCATACAGCACACAGTAGGGAGCAAAGCCTCACCGGTTAATCCTCTAATTCTATAATTTTTTTTTTTAAAAAAAATTTCATGGAGTAGAAAAACATTGAAAAGCAGTTTCAATAATAACCAAAAGGAGAGTTTTAGTATTTCTTGCCTTTTACATTTCTGATTTAGAGCCTTTAAAAAAAAAAAAAGTAGTGCGTTCCTATAATCCCAGCAACTCAGGGTCATACAGTCAACTCTCAGCCTCAGCAACTTACTGAGAACCTGTCTCAAAATTAAAATTTAAAAAAAAGGGCTGGGGATGTAGCTCAGCGGTAAAGCGCCCCTGGGTTCAATCCCCAGGACCAGAGAATTTCTGAAAATTACCATCTCTTAAGACTCCTTCTTAATAAAACTCCACGAGCACGGGAAAGAAAGTATGATTTGGAAATGACAGCTTGTACGTAAAATCCCAGGCGGGAGCAGAGAGTACACACTGGAGCGTGCGGGTCTTGGAGGAGTGGAGTTGAGCGGCAGGTTTCGGGGTCTTATGTATTTGCATATGATTAGACATTTCCTGGTGTGAAATCCCAACTCTGCACCGCCGCCGCACCTTCCTGTCAAAGGTTTCATCATTACTAAGCCCGTGGACACTAACGCAGCCGAATATTCTCATTAACAAAACCCTCTCCGGGACCTCGATAGCAAAGATGCCTCATATCCAGTGCTTCATCTGTTAGTGCTTGTTTGGTGGTATTTTTTTTTTTTTTATTCGTCGAGAAATGAATTTTTTTCTGAGAATCATGTGGGATGTGGGGATTCAGGATGACGTTGTTGGTGAAGGTCTCCTGGTCTTCTAAACATTCTTAGGTGCACAGAATAACGGGAAGGTAATATGTCTGACTCAGTGCTATGGAATTCCGAGGGCTTCTTAGCTCCTCTTGGCTTCACACAAGCCTGAAATCTGGGCTTCATTTTTCGGTGATGACACGTGAATCTCGCGAGCTACGTTTGAGGATCGTGGCTGCTCAGAGTAGGGAAGAATCCATGAATCTCATGATTCCTCGATTTCTAGATTTTCTAAGATGAGAAATTTTCAACAAATAGTCACAACATCAACAAAAACATAGAGAGATGTCAACTTTTTCCTTCTAAAGTACATTTTTTAAAAAATATTACCAATCCTTAAGATGGCCCTTTGGTAAATGTTCAGGCATTTTGACTATGAAAAAAAAAATTGCAGAAAAAATGGAATCTTGTATCCAAGGACGGTCGTTTAAATAGAATCATGAAGCCCAAGGAAAGGTCCCCCTGTCCGTCCTGTGAGGAGTTGGCCTGAGGAGCTGTGTCTGAAAACCACCTTGCTCCTCCCATATCATTAGTCTTAGGGTTTAGCTATGAGACGTCCCCAAAAGCTCACGTGTGAGACAATGCAAAGGGCTTAGAGGAGCGTCTTAACCTGGTTGGTGCACTAACCCACTTGGGTGGCAGGTAGGTAGGGTGTGGATAGAGGAGATGGGTGCCTGGGGACATTTGTCTGCAGTGAGCAGAGATTTGTCCCTGGTGAGCAGAGCGCTCCCTGCTTCCTGATTACCACATCCTGAACTTCTTTCCTCCTCTAACTTTCCTCCATGATGTGCTGCCTGATCTTGGTCTGAGAGCCATAGGGCTGACCATCCATGGACTGAGACCTCTGAAACTGTGAGCCCCCACATAAACGTTTCCTTCTCTAAAACTGTTCTCGTCAGGTCTTTGGATCACAGTCGTGAAAAAGCTGACTAGACCATTCAGTGATACATCCACACTCGCCCAAAGCCTTGGCGGATAATGATTTGTTTTGAAAAAATCCTGGTAAGGGAGAGTTCACCTGATCCTCCCAAAGCCTCCTGATGCAGAGTAGATGGCTTCCTTGTTCAAAAACAGAAAAACTCTTCTCTTCCTTCAATTTCTGTTGTGGTTTAGATATAAGGTGTCCGCTGAAAAGCTCAATCTAAAATTCTATCACTTCTAATCCTTACTGTATGATACAAGTTAAGCTTCAAATATATGAAAATATATCTTATGCCAGAATTCTTTGTACTACTTTCAGCAATATCCGCTCCAACTTGGTCTTGCTACATTTTCAAACTCTTCTTTAAAAAAATCCACTCATCAGGGCTACGGCTGTAGCTCAGTGCCAGAGAGCTTGCCTTGCAATGAGTGAGGCACTGGATTCAATTTTTAGCACCCCATCAAAATGAATACAGATATTCTGTCCATCTACAACTACCAAAAAACAAAAACAAAAAACAAAAACACTCACCATAGAGAAGACAGTGTCATCTTTTAAAAATGTAAATTAGATCATTCTGTTTTCCTGCTTTATACCATCTTCACAACTCTCAATGATGCTTACTTGTCTGCTGAATCATGGCCTCCTAGAAATAAGCACAATGCCATGCATGTCCCTTGACCTCTGCAGAGGATGCTGAGGAAGGTTCTGGACTATCACAGCTGGGGAGAGGGGGGGCTGGGACTCACACACCTGTTCAGACACCCATGGCGCTGTCTGCTGCACCCACCCAAAGCTGATGAGGTAAGTTTTCCAAGATGGCAACCGTCGGTTTCCCAGCCGGGGTGTCTGGTGAGGTGGAGGGGGCTGGGCTGTTCCTATGCTATGTCCAGAATTTGGTCCTGGTCTCATGCCTTGCAGTGATGCGGGTCACAGTCTGACCCACTCTAGTCATGAAGGATGGGTAACCCTGTGTCTCCTAGTTGCCATCTTGGAAGTTCTACTCCACCATCTTGGAAGTGCTACTCCGCCATCTTGAAAGTTCTACTCCACCATCTTGGCAGTTCCACTCTGCCATCTTGGAAGCTCTACTCCACCGTCTTGGAAGTTCTACTCCGCCATCTTGGCAGTTCCACTCTGCCATCTTGGAAGTTCTACTCTGCCATCTTGGAGTCCCACTCAATCTCCTCTACTCCACTGATCTTTCCTCTATTTTCATGAAATTCCTTCTCCCTATTTTCTCCCCTTTTCTCTCTTATTCTTTCTTTTTTAAAAAATTCTTCCCCCCCTCCCATTTTTTTTTTATCAGAGAAAACATCTGACCTTTGACTTTTGGGGATTGGCTTATTTCACTCAGCATGAAAGTCTCCAGATCCATCCACTGGCCAGCAAATGCCACAGAGGCATTCTTCTTTACAGCTGAGTAATAATATTCCATTCTGTGTGTACACCACCTTCTCTTTACCCCTTCATCTGTTCAAGGGCACCTCGGTTGGTTTCATAGCTTAGCTCTCATTGAGTTGTGCTGCTATAAACATAGATGTGGCTGTGTTGGGTGTCACTGTGGTATGCTGATTGGACATCTGTCCAGAAGGATGGACAAGACTTGACCCTGTCTTATCCATCCTTCTGTGTCCATGATTGATGGCAGATTACGTGTGTGAATACAGGGATTCCAAAACTAATTGCCTGTGTAGTAACACAACAGCAGATACACAGGCGGTTAATCCGGGCATGAAGTACTTTTATAAACACACACCGTTTATATCCCAGGGATTGATTGTCATTCAGTAGCCAGTTGATCATACTTTTCTTCAGTGAATAAATGACCAAAGCAAGACAGTGACATCTCTTAAAGGCCACTAATGTCCTTCATCCCAATCATTTTCACTGTCATTAACAAAAAAGAAAAAGTTGGCTAAGTTACCGAGGCTGACTTCGAACCTGGGATCCTCCTGCCTCAGCCTCCGGAGCCGCTGGGATTGCAGGTATGAGCCACTGTGCCTGGCTAAAATGCTGCCTTCCACCTCACTTTCTGAACTGTACTCTGCAAGTGAGAGCATTCTTCGTAATCACGTGGTTTCATGGCTTCAAGAGACTTGAGAGGTTTCCTGGCCGGTATCTTTTTTAAAGGTGAACTTGAAGGTCGGAGTCTCTGAATTACTCATTCTTACTATGCAGTGAATAAGTCCCAGAGCCGAGGAAATCCAGCTTCCATCTCTTCCTTCCATGCACCCTGGCTCTGTTCTGTTCTAGATCCTCCTTAATTCCTACCCCCGCCCCCAAAAAATCCCTTCACCTCTATACAATGTCAGCATGTTCAGATCTCTTTCTATACTTTGTATAATGTCATCCACAGGTCCGCCTTATAGAGTAGACGTTATGATTTCTACTTTATGGATTATTTAAAAGTGTTTTTGATGATGATGATTTTTTTTTTGGCAGGACATGGTCATCTCTTTGCATTTAGCCTTTTTGAGTCGAATTGACTGACACAAGCAGAATTTCTAGTTCCCTGCAGATGCTAAGAAGCGGCACCTCTCCGTCTTCTTCTTTTCCCTTTATTATCTTTAGAATAGAAGCACTTCCTTGATTAAAGGGCAAGCATAATCCAAGTCTGGACATTTCC